GAGAAAAGAAATTTTTGAAATTTAAAAACCCTGTATTGTTAGTTATATTTCATTGTTATTTTGCTTCATGTCATTTACTGCTAAGTTTCATCATTGTGCTTGTAAAAATTGTTGTACAGTAAGTTAAATTTTATTGAGAATTATTAATTATTTAAATTTATGAATAGAAACCTAATTCACCCCCCTCTTAAGGTTTTGTTTTTTTGGTAACAACGGTGTATCTCCAATGGTCTACACAACCAACACAGTGTCTGCTTACGACGGTTCCACATGACCCCGTAATTGTCCTGACATCGATTCCGCGTTAGGACTCCTACAACGGTCTGACACAACCACACAGTGTTTTCAACACGGTCCGACACGACCATGACAGTGCCTTCACCACGTCCGACCACGACCATACAAGTCTGTACAACGCGTTTGACACGACCAGATAGTGTCCTCTACAACGGTCTGACACGAACACCACAATGTTTTACCAAACGGTCCGACACGACCATACAGTTGTCTTCAATAATGGTCGACACGACCATAACAGTGTCTCCTATCCTATTTATTTTATGTATTATTTTATTTTTCCTGTTTTTGATAACTCTTTCCAAACTCAATTGGTTTGTGCCTATCCTCCTATGAGTTTGAGGAGGCTGTAGAATAATTATTATATGTTAGTGTTTAGCTTTAATAATTAGTGCCCCCTTACTTTTAGCCTTTCGGTGCCACTTACAGGCCTATTTGAGTAACTACTGCTCCTCTATATAAAGGAGGTAAACAACACGGATATTAAATACAACATTCAATTAACATTCAGAGTATATACATTATGCTATTTTGTTATACATTAAAATTAAACATAATCCAAGATCTTTACTTCCTAGTGTTGAAAATTAGTAGTCTAGCAGCACAATAAAGGGGAAAACAGTAGGTTTGATACACTAAAAGCAAAGAAAAAACCATATTATAAAAGCCTTAAAACAAACTTAACCTATATCTATTAAGCCTTACTGTTACTAAGAAATAAACTAACCTACTCAAACTTTCATATTTTCCCTTCTGATTGACACGGAGGGGAAAGGGGCCCGAGGCAAAAAAAAAATATCGCGGGTTGATTCAGGAATTTCTAGATAAGCCATTATATGATATCCATCCATCCAATTACACGTTGTGACGTGGATTTTGTCCTTTTTTTCGTGCTAGTAAATAATGATCACAACTTCCTTATTATGGATGAACACATGACTTCAAAGTTGTTTCAATGTGACATGTTTGTTGTGTTGTTTTTTATTTTTGTATTGTTTGAATCTGTGTGTGTGAATGTAACCATGGTCTGTGTTTGAAAGAACAAAAGAAAATATTTTGCGGGACTTCCAGTTAGCTTTGTAGATTTTCATCAAAAATTAGTTTTGGAGTTGAAAATTCATTTGCTCAAATTAGATTTATTCCTTCCAAATTTTGGTATTTCAAAATGGCAAACACAAATAATATTGTATATTTGTTATTTTTATTAATTTGGCCAGAAGTTTGAGGATGTTATGAACTCCCAAAAAGAGAGCCAAAAAAAAGAAAAAAACAAAAATTAAATAATGTACTAAATAAAAATTGTCGTTTTGTATTTTATTTTTTTTGGCTTCCTAAGCACAGTAGCATGACTTAACTTTTTTTGCACTATGTTTATGTTTAGATAATAAAACAAATAATGAGTGAGACCACTAAAAAAGCAGGATTGTATTAATAACTTTAAAGCTGGCTGTGGGTCTCACATCGATGGATGTTTTGCTATTGTGTTTCTGTTTTTTGTTTTTTTTTTTTTGAATTTTCACCCTCAGAGTGGTCCATTAAGTGCTCCTGTCAAATTAGTGGGATGAATCATTTTTGTAATAATATATACTAAACAATTAAGGGAATGCTTTTTTAGCGTCCCTTAATATTAAATTTATAATGATAAAATGTATATAAATTATTTTTATAGATAGTTAAGATCTCTCAACATATTTTATAAAGAAAAAATTTTACTCAGAGACATTTTTTCCGATTCAGAAAAATTGGCCCTAACTCAAGAGAAAATTTCTCTGATTTGAAGAAAATTTTGAAATGTTTCTTTGAATTGCGTCGAAATTTTTGAGTCAAGTGAAATTTTTTGATCCAAATTTTTTTATGAAAATGTTGAAGAACCTTAGCTAATAAAAAAAATATGTTGCAACTCTCCTACTACTAGAGATATTTCATATATTTTTTCTAATAATAATAAATATATATAATAATTAAATAAAAGTTGAAAAAAAGAGAAATTAATAAAAAACAACTTTAGGGGTTTGAGTTTAATTATTTTCAAATTAAACTCATTTTCTATGTTTGTTGAGCATAAATAAAAAATATATTTAATCATTAAACTCAAGAAAAAAAATAAATATTGTAGATATTTTATGGCACAAACATTAAGTTTGGTGGCTAACATTATAATATAATATATCTATCAATTTTGCTTAAAGAAAAAGAAAATAATTTAAATTAAAAATAAATAAATAGAATAAAAATAAATTAATAAAATAAAAAATGTCAAAATTATTATTTGTTAGAATATACTAATGTATAATTAATGTCTAATAAATATAATTAACAGATAATGTGACATAATTTTAAAAGTTTTAAGTATTTGTAATTTGTATAATAGGTGATATCAATAATAATGATATAATACTAAATTAATATACTGGTATGTACATTAATTACGTACAATGTTCACTAACCAATTTTGTTACAGAGTAATTTGATTGTTTGTGTTTGTCTGTTTGATTTTATTTTATTTTATTTTAATTTGTTTTTAGTGAAAGAAAAATAAAAAAATGAAGGTCCCTTAGGCTCATAGCATCCACAATGGACACACTAACGTGTTTGTTAGTGTCAGTTGCCAAGTTTAGCTAGTGTTTGGTTGCTCAATGCGAGATGTTAGTGTGTGGTTAGTGAGTTGGTTAGCGTCAGTTTGTAAGTATATTTGTTAACTGCGGCTAGCATTTTTTAGCTACAAAGGGACGCGTTTTTTTGTCTTCCGGATTGACCGGTTGGTTTACCCGTGAACGGATTTTTTTTTTTTTGACTTAAAATTTAATTGTGAGCTTCAAATTTTAATATTAAACTAAATTATTTATATATTTTATTTTATTATATACATATATATTTAACACACATCTTAACACACCCTAACACATCCATTACACCACCAACTTCACTCTCTAAAATTAACAAACTCTTAACAAATCTAACAGAATATTTTTAAGTCTCACTTTACCCCTTTTTTGTCGTATAATACACTTCTTTACCAAACAATTTGGCTATCCACCGCTGGTGTACACAGGGCTCTCTTCTCTCTCTCTCTCGCAGCGCGCGCGCTCAGACACACGCACACAACAGGAGCAAGGATCCTCCGGCCGCGCGTTTTCGGCAGCCGTTCCATCAGCCCCCCAAAAACGACGTCGTTTGGGGGGTTTTTTGATTTTTTTTCTTTTCTTCTCCTCGTCGAGCTCGACAGAACCAGGGGGAGGGGAGGGAGGGGAAGGATGAGAAGGGGCGAGGGGAGGGAAGAAGAGCCGCCGGTGGGCCGGACTGGGAGGGGCACAATAACACAGTGGCGGAGGGAGGAGGAGGAGGAGGGAGGCGGAGGCGGAAGAGACGGCGGTCTGCGGTGCTGCGAACGGCCGGCGGCGAGGCGACGAGCTGCGACGGCGACGATTCACCTCCCCCTCCTCCTCCCTCTTCTCCCCCCCTCCCCTCCCGTTGGTTTTTGGATCATCGAAGAGAGAGAAGAGAAGAGAGAAAACAAGAAACGAAGAAGAAGAAAGAGAGAAAAAAAAAAAAAAAAAAAAAAAAAAACCCCCCCCAAAACGACGTCGTTTTGGGGGGCTGTCGGGTAGGGCGGCCGATGATCCAAATTCCACAAACAGAGCAAGAAGAAGATGTCAAAAATGGATGTATCTGGTATCATTGGAAGAGCAATAGCTTATAAATGTCTATTAAAAGATACTAATAATCCCCAATCCTCATTTGTTGTGCTTCGTTCACTCTCTACAAGCGCTAGATCTTCTTCTGTAATAAGAAATGAGCGAGCCAATTCAAATCTCCACGATGCTGTTCATTTATTCAATAACATGCTCGAAATGCGACCATTGCCCCCAATTACTCACTTCAACAAAGCTTTAGGGACTATTACGAAAACGGGTCATTGCGCCACTACTCTTTCTCTTATTCATAATAAGTTATAGGGCATTCGGGTTGATATCTACACCTTCAGCATTGCTATTAACTGTTACTACCGCCTTAATCGAGTGGATTTTGGGTTCTCTCTTTTGGGTACCCTCTTCAAAAGCGGTTTTACACCTAATGTAATTACCTTCACAACTCTTATTAATGGACTTATTTTGCAAGATCAAACTCCTGAAGCTGTGGAGCTTTTTAAGAAATTAATGATAAGTAGAGAAATTGAACCCAATGTGGTTATGTATGGAACCATTGTCAATGGGCTGTGCACAGGGAACACTATCAGGGCTGTTAGTTTGCTTAGGATAATGGAAAAGGGAAGTTGTAAACCTGACACAATAGTGTATAACATTATTATTGATAGTCTTTGCAAGGATAGAATGGTGGATGATGCTCTCAAACTCTTTTCTAAAATGAAAGAAGGCAGCATTCATCTAAGTGTTGTCACTTATACTTCTTTGATTCATGGCCTATGTAATTTCGGTCGGTGGAAGGAGGCTAATGAAATTTTAAGAGAAATGTTGGGTAGTGGTATTGCTCCGAATGTTTGTACCTATAATGTGTTGATGGATGCATATACCAAGGAAGGGATGATGAAAGAGGCAAAATGGGTATTTGAAGTCATGACGGAAAGAGGTGTGGATCCTAGTGTAGTCACATACAATACTCTAATGGATGGATATTGTTTGCAACGCCAAATGGATGAAGCAATCAGAGTGTGCAATACCATGGAGGATAGAGGCCTTGAACCAAATGTTTTTAGCTATTGCATTTTAATCAATGCCTATTGCAGGGAGATGCAAATAGACAAGGCCATTCATATCTTTCGAGAAATGCCTCGAAGGGGGTTGAAACCTAACACTGAAACGTTCAATGCTATGTTGCAGGGTTTGTTTCGTTCAAGTAGATGTTCGACTGCTCAAGAACTTCTTAATGAGATGCAAGTTGTAGGCATAATTCCAAGTACTCAAACATATGCTATCTTGTTGGATGGCTTGTGCAAAAATGGGCATATTGTAGAAGCATCCTCCTTATTCCACATGATGGAAAGCAACGATTTACATCTTAATATTGTTATATATAATATCCTCATTGATGCATTTTGCAAGGATAAAAAGCTTGATACTGTAAGGGCCCTTTTCAATAACCTTTCTTTCAAGGGATTACATCCTGATGTTAAAACATACACTATGATACAAGGCCTTTGTGAAGAAGGCCTACTTGACGAAGCCAAAGAGTTGTTTGTGAAAATTGAACTGAATGGTTGTTTGCCAAATGATGTCACTTACAACATTGTCATCCAAGGATTTCTTGGGCAACAAAAGTACCATGAGGCGTCTATACTCCTTGACGAAATGTTTGGAAGGGGGTTTTCAGCAGATGCATCTACTTCTTCCTTGATTGTAGATATACTCTCAACTAAAGGACAAGATCCTGCTCTCCAAGAAGTGATAAAGAAGCTCATGCCCAAACATAGTTAGGGAATGCAAGAGATTGAGTAAATTTTTTAAGCTATGAAGGTAAAGTCTATTATGGATATACATGCCATGGCTAGTGTGACAGTGAAGTATCAAGACTCAAGTGTTATTGAAGTGGCTATGCAATTGCAGGAGCCCAACCTGTAGACAATTTGTTGAATTGTGGGTTGTAATAGCAAAACAAAAGGCTGCAGAGGCTATGCGTCGCAAAGTGCAGGGCCGACAATCTTTCTGAATAGATTCGTCAACTGACTGATGCCCTGGGGATGGAATGCCTGGTTAACTTGATGACCAACCACTGCCCCAGTTAAGTCCATCCTATGAGGCTGACGGTGGGGGGCATTGAGGTCTATTACTTGGTAGCTGGCGCATGAATTTTCACTTTTGCTATCTGCAGTGGGTACATGTTTAGCAGCCTTTTTCCAGCACTGTAAGCATCAAATAATTTTTATGCTTATTTCTATTTTGTTTTTTATTTTAGTTTTTGTGAGTTTCCACTTAAGTTTTATATATACCTAGATGGTGCTTAATAATTCATAGCTTCCATTATGATGTTGTTGACTACTTATTATCGATTGAAAAACACATTTCCCTCTTGTTTGTCATAAAAGATGTAAATGAGCTATACAATTGTGATTGTGAGTATTCATTAAATTAAGGCAAATGTGATATATGATGTTGATCGTACCTTCAGTTTCAGTCCTTTATTGATGGATGTTGAGCCGATGCCCAACAGTTCAACTGTAGTACTAGAGAATAATTCTACTTGTAAATATTTCAATGTTGTGTTGAAGTGATAACAGTTGTCTATGTCTCTTAATTACAAGGGGTGCATGGTTCTTAACATTGACTTTTGTGGTTCATGTATGCAGAAACGGTAGAATGATACTGATCTCTCGTCACGCACGGACAGAAAAGGAGAGCAAGCTTTCAGAATGCAGGTATTGATGTTTTGGAACAGCTGCACCAGTGGTAATATCCAAATAGTGTAACCCATCAACTAAGTTGTTGCATGGTTTATTTTATTGAAGTGGGAAACCATCTGTCTGCTAACAGGCTGATTGGTGAATTTATACATCTGATTCCTTGTATTTTACACCAATTCTTCTTACTGGATGTGCAAAATTTTATCCATTTATCTTCTTATCTAACCAATAATAAAACTAAATAAAAATAAAAATAAAGTATTATTTTATCTATTTGTTTGAACTTCTATATCTGTTTTTTTGAAACTAAAGGTCTTGTTTTCTTATAATTTACAGTGCATTCATTTGGAACAATAGAACTTCTTATGCTAGTTGATTGATAGTATCTGTTTGCCCCTTGTGCTCATAAACATTTAAGTTGTCCATACATCTTATGCTATCTTGTTGGATGGGTTGTGCAAAAATGGGCGTATTTCTAAAGCGTTATCATTATTCTATGTGATGGAAAGGAACGGTTTAGATCTTAATGTTGTTATGTACAGTATTATCATTGATGCATTCTGCAAGGATAAAAAACTTGATACTGCAAGGGCCCTTTTCAATAACCTTTCTTCCAATGGATTACATTCTAATGTTAAGACATACACTATGATGATACAAGGTCTTTGTGAAGAATGCCTACTAGATGAAGCCAAAGATTTGTTTGTGAAAATGGAACAAAATGGTTGCTTGGCAAATGATGTCACTCACAGTACTATCATCCAACGATTTATTGGACAACAAAAGTGTTATGAGGTGTTGGTTCTCCTTGAGGAAATGATTGGGAGGGGCTTTATGCCAGATGCATCTACTGTTTCCTTGGTTGTAGATTTAATCTCAACTAAAGGACAAGATTTTGCTCTCAAAGAAATGATAAAGAAGTTCATGGCCATTGGATAGACGCCATGGCATCTGAGAGATTTTTTGGCTATGTTTGGTGGGGCTTTGTAATCAATTTTTCAGCCACTGATTTAAATTCTACATTTGGTTTTAGTTTTCAAAAATCATTTCCACACCCGCGTTTGAAAACTCGTTTACCCGGTCATCTCTCCGGACGTCCGGCCGGTTGACCGGAACAGTATTTTTTTTTCTAGCACCTGTTATTTTTATATTTTAAATAAAAAATATTTTCAGAATTTTTTAAAATTTTTTTATGACCTTTGAACAGAATTTTGGGTTGTATGTTTGGTTTTGAGTTGTAAGTTTTTGAATCAAATATCATATATTACATAAAAAATTTCAAACTCAATTCAAAACTCTGTTCAAAACTCATAACCAAACAAATTTTTCTTGCTCAAATCATAATTCCAAAACTCAAAAACTCAAAGTACAACTCTATTCTCAAATCATAATTCTAAAACTTTACTGTGGAGATTTGGTTTGGAAATACTCTTCTGATCTTGGGGAGAGCTTGTGATCCGCTGATAGTCACCTGAAAAGGAATAAACACTCCGGTCAGGGGTGCCGGAATTAGCACTCCGACGGACAAGTCAGTCTACACACTCAAGAATGCTTGTATTCTATGTTTTTCACAACAATTCTCACATACCTTTCTTATTCTGTTTCTCCTTTATTTATACTTGTTCCCTGGGCCTCGGGGCCAGGCCCACTTTTCACTCATCATCCTCTTATTTACTTGGCTCCATAGTTCAATATTTATTCGCCCTATCTGTATTATTCAGCATTCTGATCGTGTAGGATAGAGCCGAGTAGTGTTTATCTTCCAGAGTACGCTTCCGACTCTTCCAAATATCCGGCTCCCACAATTGCCCCCCAAACACCCCACTAGCATCAGTTAGTCGGCGTGTTTGGCTTCCAGTCTGGGCAGTCAAAAATTCGGTGGTTAGCCCTCTTCTCGATGCGTGTCAGAACGCGTACATGCTTTTTGGTCTCTACAACGCTTGTCCGCCTCATTCATGCTTCTCTCGCATTTATTACAATTTGAAACTTCAGTCCCTTCGAATGCATGCTTTTTCGAATATTTGAACCTCCTGGATTGCCAGTCGGTGTCTCTTCTCCGACGCGTTTTCTGCGACTCTTCTCCGTCTTCTCCTTTGCCTTTCGTAAGTTTTCTTTTATTCTCTTTGCAACCCTACTTTCTGTATTTATCTTTGATTTTAGAATATCCTTGGGTCTTTACTAGGATGGCTAAGCATTTGAAAGACCTCCTTTCTGAGGGTCGAATTTCTGGGTTCCGAAGACATTTCTCTATCCCCGATGATGTCCATCTATCTCTAGTAACGGACAATACCCTTGATATAGAGAGGGACGACCAAAATACAATCATCTTTCCTCTCCTATCCATTGCGGAGAGCGGAGTTTTCCTTCGGAGATATGTTTACAAACTTGGAAGATCTACACGGCGCTTTCTCTGAAGGCATGGCTGGGGAAAATCTCACGCAGATGGCGAGAAAGAGAAATGTTGAGCGAATGGTTGCCCGAAAGAAAGCCGAGGCCGCCCGTTCTAAGCCTGCCCCGGTTGAATCGTTACAACCGGTTACTGGAGAAAAAACGGCTCAAGTTGTTGTGGCTGAGATGGAGAGGGCTGAACAGCAGGTTACGGAAGAACGGCTGGTTTCAAAAGAACGAGGTGAAAAACGTTCCACCGAGGGAGGCACTGGCTCAGAGGATAGCCCTGCTGACAAACGGCCTCGCTTAGAGGAGTCCGACATGGTTGTTCCTTTCGTTGTTCAACCAAAGATCAATGACACGCCAATCTCCTCTGACGTATCTGCCATGAAGGATCCAGCCATGGCGTTGAGCTTGGCCGCCTTAGTTTCGCTACGGGCTGACAAGGCTACCTTTCGAGAAGAGCCGAATTTGGTAGCTATAGCGTTCGCTGCCCAGTCGGCCCTTCTGGTATGTATACGATACTTTCTTTTTTGCTCGTTTGGTTTGGTTTGAATACGATATTGCTTGGTGTGGTGATCCAAACTTGTTTTGCAGATGGTTGGAAGGATAGCCGAACTAGGCCACCGACAGCGTGATGCCGTTGAAAGAATTGGCCGCTTAAAGTTTGAAGCTGAAGGTGAAAGAAGTAAGGTCGAGTTCGAGGCGATGAGAGCCGCAATGGAAAGTGCTCGAGCCGAAGCTGAAAAGGAGAGGGCTCGAACTACTGACCGGCTCAGATTTGAAGCCGAGGATAGGGCGAACGCGAGTGAGGAGTCGCTCAAGTTAGCCTAGGAGGCGCTTTCCAAGGCAGACGCCGAGTTAGAAGAATTGAAGGCGGCCAAGGAAAAAGTCGAATCTGAAGTTTCTACGGCGCTAGAGGCTGGGAAGAGCGCCGCCTTGAAGGAATACGTAGATGAGGTCCCCAAATTTGAGAATCGGGGATTCAAACATGGGTGGCTCAAAGCCCTTGCTGCCGCTGGAGTTACATTGGCCTTACCAATTCCATACGAGCAAGTGGACGTTGAGCCACTTGAGTCTAATCCCGAGGATTGATCTGGGAGACATTCTAGTTTTATTAGGTATCTTCAATTGCAATGTACGTTTTTGTTTAGTGGATTTTTGTTAGTTCAAGGTAATTTTCATGTATAAATTAGTCACTATCTGCGCTCAATTTATTAATGAAAATTTCCTTCCCGTTTCACTATTACTTGTACGTAGTTTTTGATATTAATGAAGAGTTTTGCCTTCCACTACTTTGGATAAAATGATTATTGTTCGTTGTGCCTTCTAACTATCAATTGGATAGCAGTGTAATCTTGGCAATTATATTAGTTTAAACTTTAATTTATCCGAACAAGTAAATCGACTATTGGTGCTGAATAAGACTAGTAAATCGATTCGTGAAGCGGCTGCGGCACTGAAGCCGAATAGATTGATGAATCTGCCCCTGCCCCAGCTGGTTCATGAACTTTAACACCGAATCAGACAATATTGAGGAGTCGATTCGTGAAACGGCTGCGGCACTGAAGCCGAATAGATTGATGAATTTGCCCCTGCCCTAGCTGGTTCATGAATGTTAAACGCCGAATCAGACAATATTGTCGAGTCGATTCGTGAAGCGGCTGCGGCACTGAAGCCGAATAGATTGATGAATCTGCCCTTGCCCTAGCTGGTTCATGAACATTAAACGCCAAATTAGACAATATTGAGGAGTCGATTCGTGAAGCGGCTGCGGCATTGAAGCCGAATAGATTGATGAATCTGCCCCTACCCCAGCTGGTTCATGAACTTTAACGCCGAAACAGACAATATTGATGAATCTGCCTTTGCGGAAGTTAAGACTGTCGAATAACAGTGTTTGACGAGGGCACGACTCGGTCGGTGCCGGGCTGTTGAGGTTTCGATATTAATGAGATTGCCTCGGTGGCGCTGCCCTCGTAGGGAATAAATGAATGAAGGTTCTATCTATGTGCTCAGTGAGCAACTCAATCCAGGTCTTTGATGAAGAATAAACAAGCGCGAATGTCGAATAGACTTTTCTTTAACAGCAAAAGGGAGGCGAAGACGCTAGCTGAGCTAGGAAGAGACATGAATCGAAGTGACGAAC